AGGAAAAAGAAACAGTCGCATTTGCCGAAAACGTTGGCATCTCAGAAACCCGGCTTGGCGGGATGGAGCCAAATCTCAGCCCACGGCAGCCGATGCGCAGATCCAATCCAGCCAGTGGGCACGGGGTGGCGTAACCTGTCCTCAGTGGGTGCTGCTTGGCAAATCGCCGCAAGATGCATACAGAAGAAGAAAAAAGGGGAACGACAATAGGGACAACAGGGTGTCAAGTGTTGCCAGAAGGAAAGCACGGGCGGGTGCTGCGCCTTGTTGCCAAGAGGCTGACCCGCCGCCACGGACCAACCCAAGGCGCAAGTCGTCGCCCGCGGGAAGGGAGGGCAATCCTGTAAGTATAGGACGGTAACACATGTAGGCGTCCGTTATCAATATACATGGACATTGCACTCCCGAACCGTGTCAGCCGCAAAAGGTGACTGAATGGTGTTGTTTCAAGGCGATCAACACACACATGTCGAAACGGTCGAAACGTTGGGGGCAAAGAACCTAAAAATAAGCCACCAGAAGAACCACGCAGCTCTAACCTGTAGAGTATTTGGAAAAAATAAGCTTGAAACATGACGTTATCGCAGACCGAAGATCCCGGGGGGGAATCATGTGTTTGGGTTAGTGCCCAAGACGGCTGTGTGAGTTTTGGATGAGGCTGTTGTCGACTTGTGCGACAACGACGACGACAACAGCAGCGTCAAGGGACCGTATCAGTGAGACTCGTCGGCTTGGCAGCGACGATCGCAAAGCGTCCAGCCCCAATCTTGCTAGGCACGATGCTTGGGGATGGTGGCGCCGCCACCGGCTGACTAGACTCTCCGATATACAGTACAAGAATCCAAGAGCCGGGGGCGGCTGTTTTTAATGCGACTTGAAGGCTTGGAAACCGCGATCCAATCATTCGTTAGTTTTTCATCTGCATATCGGGCGGTGAGCTACACAGAACAGACCAGTGACCACAGTGATGGAACTATCCTCGGCTGACCACCACCCTGTGATCATTTTACCGGAAAAAAGAAGAGTGTCTAGAAAAAGCATGAAAGTATACATCAAAACAAAGATGAGGGCCGATAGCCGTGAATGGTCAAGAGTAACCCCCCCAACATCCCCAACCTACGCTAAGACTTCAACTCCGCAACTCTCTACATGCATCCGGACAGAATCTGGCGGGGATGAATGACAAAGGCCGGAGAGATTAGAAACACACGTATGGAGCCCCAAGTCGCGACAATACCTTGGTATTTCTCGTCATTCTTTATGTGGCAGCCCTGCGATTTTCATTCAAACGTGGGGGCGGCCCTCGTGGTAGACACGCGTCTCGATGGCGGTGCTGAACCTGACTCGGCAAATATCACCTACTTTGGGGGCACGGCAGAGAATTTGTGGCGGCCGCCCCCAAGAACCTAACGAAAAATAAATACCAAACTAAATGTATACATCTATCTGTGAGGCATTAATTCCCTATCCCGCGATCAGAGCTAGCCAAAAGGGACTTGGGATCGCCCATGTCTTTTTTTCGACTTGGCTGGATGCGGAAGCATGTCACTCGCGCGTGGGAGGCCTGCGGAACAACTGAAAGAAAGCTGGGGAAATAGGAACAGATCAGATAACGAAAAACCTGAAACGAGAATGACTAAGACTTTTTTTGTTGCCCGTTCTGTGTCGGATAAGTGGTTGAAACTTGCTCGCGGGGGAGGTTTTGAGTTTGCTGGTTCGGGGCAAGTTCTCAGGCAGGACGGACACAGTCAGCCCAACTGTGATGAACACATCTGTCGCCTACGCAGTAAAGGTCTCAAAAGAAGCTGAATCAAAAAGAGACTTGAAAGAAAGCCATTTAACCTGAAGAAAAAAAAAACGGCCAAGCATTCTCTCCGTGCTGTTCTGCGGCTCAACTTCTACCCGAGCGCAACCCGCGCTTCTGTGTCTCAATTATCGTTGATCACCACCCTGTTTCTCTGGAAGCGACCTGAATCGCAAGCATCTTATTGGTAAAAGGGACGTGCCGCATCATTACCACCTTGATGACACGTTACTGCAAGCACGGGACGATTAGGTGATGCGTTGCCTCTCTTGTGCCAGAGTACGTGGTATTTTGCCCCGGACTCTCTTGGCAACCTTCCGCTCAACGCCAATTTTTTTTGCCGGGGATAGTACGCTGAGACATTGAGAAACTTCCCGGTCCTTGCCGATGTTGACGCCATTGATAGATTGTCAGTGCTCGGTCGGTCGATCACGCTGCGGGAAGGATATTTCGGGACATGCGTAGCGTTATCTCTTATCATATACTACTTCAGACTCTTTTTTCCAGCAATAGGGGATACTGCGTTTTGAAATTACTATAACAGCGCAAATAAAAGGGCTCTGGAGTTGGTTGAATATTGTTTTCAAGTAAAATCCTATGGTTGCTAGCACACTTTGCTGATGTGACCCCAGCGCCATTGCTGAGCGACTGTGCGGGAGTGATCAGTCAGCAGCTTCAAGGGAGTTGACCAACAAGTCCTTTTGATGTGAAAGGTTGCAAAGTCAAATCTTGAACTGTCTTGTTGCTCTGAACTGAGCCTGCAAATGACGGAACCGGCGACATTATGCTCGGCGCCAACAGTCGGACCGTCTATGTTGCCATGACTTGGTATCATTATGCGTAAAGGAACTTTTGGATCTGCTTAACGCTACCATCCAAGTCCAATCTGATTCATTTGCGGTACGCCCGCCCGCTCCGTGACATCATGAACCGTCATTCGTTGCTTGCGAGGCAAGGATGTAAGCGCATGGAAGATATGACTTGATGCTATGTATTCGCTCGCACAAGCGCAGTCGAGCGTAGGATTTTCTTTTCATACTTCTGCTGACTATATCGCTTATGCAAACACTTTCTTGCGTTGCTATGCTGACTTTTTTTTTGGAACCCCTAAACGGTAGACATGAGTCGCATCTCATGCAACGACGCTTCGGATGGAAATGACCGTTTTTAGATTCCGTTCCCTCCATTATTCTGTGTTCTGGAAGGTTCGCTTATTCCATGCGTCAAGTTCACCCTGCAGCATGGTGACAGTCGACTGTTTTGCATCAGCAATTCAAGCAGCGATGAAACTGGCCCTTGTAAAAGGGAGACAGAGGTGAGAGAACCTCTGTGTCCTGTACGGCAAACAGGCGTTCAAATTGGATGAACCATTTGAATAAAAGTCCAAGCAGAAAACTTGCCTGCTTCAGGCGTTAAAAACTAGATCTAGGGTAACTTTGGTTGATGGTAGGCCCTTTGCCATGTGTGAGCCAATGATTGAATCGCAGTCTCGTCAGCTGGGAAAACCGAGCCGCATGCATCTGCATAGTCCGTCATCCAGTTGCCGCAGCAAAAAAAAAAAAAAAAAAAAAAAAAATGTTACCAGTGGACCAAACTAGCTGCACATTGGAGCCGAGCCATTTCCGATGCAGGGTCGCGTGTACAGCACTACCTACTTGGTCCCCGAGAAACTGCCGCAGCTTTTAACTTTGGAATATCGTCTAGCCGTTCACCCTGGCAGATCGCTCGCAGTCTGCAATCCGCAGTCGATCTGTGACGCGATTGGCGCTGGAGCTTGGCTGCTCAGAGGCCTGCAGTGTGAACCAGGGCCTGTCGGTGTTGTGAAGCGGCCCCAGAGTTTAGGAGAAAGGGGCGTAAACTACCTAGTATCATCAGTTTTTAATGTATTCTTTATATTCTCAGTTGGACCATGTCGGTAATGCGTCCGGGTCATTCGGGATTTGGGAGGGCGTGCCAAGCCACTGTCCGGGGTTCATCGGCCGAAAGGGCCGGAACAATCTAGATGCAGCATGGTAGCGCTTCGGCGCTCAGTTCCGAGCAGAGGCCAGTTCTGAATGTATTCAATTAAATTTTTCCATATTTTGCATCGTTTTTATCATCCACTGCGATGATGGCGGGTAAATGTATCATTGCCAACGGCACTGCAGCTGGGGCTGGTGACCAGACGCACGCACACGGCACGGAATGTTTGCAGGGATTGGCCAGCTGGCAAAGATTAACGCAGGCTAAAAAGAAGGCAAAGCGAAGCAGGTAATATAAGACTGCAGACCGCCCGGTGGTGGCATTGGTAGGGAATGGAGTTTGCAAGCGGCACGTCGCTGCCCATCATTCTGAGGAGCGGCCATACTCGGAAGCAGTACTTGTTCAAGGACGTTCGAAGAGCCTTTTTTTTTTTTTTGCTTTACACGAGGGTCCATGAAATGCGGTGCAACGGCCAACTCGGAAATCCAAGCTCGGAACAAAGCAACGGATGAAAAAAGAAAACGGCTGGGGCTTTTGGGAAAATGCGGAGAAGCTGGGAGCTTGCGAGCGGAAAATTATCCCGTCGGCTAAAATAGATTATCGCGGGGTCAATTGAGTTCATACCCCGCCGCAGCCGTGCAGACTTATTATTACCACCCGCCGGAAATTTATAATGTTGGATGGGACAGGTAAAATTCGGTCTATTTCTCCCCCAGGCGATCAACCACGGCAGCTATTCATTATTAGTGGCTCGGTTGCGCTCGCTGCGACGGAAGGAAGCTGTCAACTCTGCGGCTCCGCCTGGTAACCATCGGGTCAATCTTGGAGCCTATTCGACGCCACGGTGATTTTCTTATTCTGTTCCCCTCACTTTTGCTCCATGATGCCTGAATTCCTTCCTTTTTCCTTATTTCTTGGTGTCTGTAAAGCATCAAAGCCATATCCTTGAACGGTATCTATGCGCAACTAGAAGACTCCAACATATACAATAACCAAAAGAATCCCCGTCCTCACCGCCGTGCTTTGGTCTCCAATATGCCATCTACACTGACCAAACTCCGGCATTCCTGGACGAGGGTAAAACCGCCTCCGACGTCGACGACAAAGGAGCTCCGCGACTCCTCCGATTCCTCCACCGCAGCTGCCCCGGCGCTGGCCTCGAACGCCACTCTGATCTCCGCGGCGGCACCGACGACACTGCCGCTGAGCAAACCGCAGCAAAAAAAGGTGGACGATGTTCTGTATCAGCCCCTCCTCGGCCGCGTTTTTGCCATTACCGGCGGCGCCAGCGGCATTGGCGGAGCTGGAAGACGAGGACTGGGACAAGATTATCGCGGTCAACCTGACGGGCACCATGTACTGCATGCGCGCCCAATTGCGGAACATGGAGCGCGGCGAATCCATTGTCAACGTGTCGTCGATTCACGGACTCAAGGGTATGTTGTTGCCGGTCCACCTCGGACAAGTTCAGAGTTGACAAAGAAGAACAGGCTTCGCCAAGCACGCCGCGTACGACGCCAGCAAGCACGGCATCATTGGCATTACGAAAGCTGCGGCGCTGGAAAACGGCGACCGGGAAATTCGAGTCAACAGCGTCGCGCCGGGCGCCATCTACACGCCGCTGATGCAAAAGAACTGGGATTTCCACCAACGGCCCGCCGACGCGCCGTTTGACGAGCCGACGGCGTTTCGGCGCCAGGGCACGGCGGAGGAGACGGCGAGCGTCATTTGCTTCCTGCTTGGTCCGGAGAGCACGTTTGTGAGTGGGAGCGTGTATCAAGTGGACGGAGCGTGGATGTGAGTGTCTAGCTTGGGGCGGGCATTTTTTGCCTATTTTCCATGTAGTAGGCACACATGGAAGAATGCTTGACAGAGATGGGCAAACTGGCTGAAAGCATGGCGAATGGACTGAATTGATGCAACAGAGCCGTCACTATCGGAGAGTTATACTGATGGCCTTTTAAAGAGAGACTTCTTTTTTCCCCGGTCTTCCAAGGGTCCTATCTATACTTCATTGCAAGTCGCTAAAAAAAGAAAAAAAAAAAAAAGAGGCGCGTGTCAGCTGGTGTAACAAGTTGATTGTTGCTTTCTCCTGCCTTCCCAACCTTTCCCCCCCCCTCTTTTCCAAAACCCCCCCTTTTCCAACTAGCTGTCCAACTATACTTTCGTTGAATTAGCTTTTGGACCCTTGAATGAACCCCATACTTTTCGGCGCCCGCAGCGTTTTGGTCCGTCTCTTCTCATTGGTTTACCCCCGAGTTGATCGCCAACGGTGTGCCCGAAAGCGTTCCGGTTCCCTCAAGGGTTATTGCGGTGTTGGAGGCATGATGACATGGCCATGACGTTTTTTCTTTTTTCAAAGGGAGACCAGCTTTTTTGTTGTAGGTAAGAGGGACTGCGTAGAATTCCATGCGACAAAAAAAAACAGATCAAAATCGTGAGAAACAAACTGTCGACAATGGCCGGCGAAAGCTCATCAAGCTGGCCTAGGCAAAGACAGAAGCAGCAGCAAAAGAGCCCTTGCGACTTGTCCAGCCAAAATCCTCGGAGTTTGATGTTGAAGCCTTTCCTATTATTGCCCAGCGGACGCGGTATTTGCGGATTCGACAACCGGAACCATGGAGACCGGCTGTCTCACTGCCTCTCTGATTGGATGATTGGATGATTGGATGGTTGGATGCTTGGATGCATTCGATGCAATGGCGCAACACACAAAGCACATATACACACACACACTATACACACACACAACATTCTCAATGTAGTTGTGATGAGCAAATGTGTCAACTCGTTTCTCCTCTTCTCTCCAACGGTACTTCCGCCCCCCCTACTTGTCTCCTTGTCTCCTCCCCCCCCTCTTCCACCATCGCCAAAACAAAACACGAAGGCGAATGCGGTTCAAATGAATTGCCCATCGGCCCCCTCCCAACGGTGGCGAACAAGCACACAATCCCCATTGCCCACCCTGCCATTCTGCTAGATATGGCACAACCCCGCGCCCAACTTTCCTGCGTACATGATAGGCTGGCTGGTTTTTTTTTCCTAAATCTTCGTTCGCTCGTTCGCCCTTGCTGCTTCCAACATCTCCATTCCTTCCATGGGAATGCCCTCCCCCCTTCAATGCATCGCCACATCCCAACACACAGCACATATTAGCTCGCTAGTAGTCATGCCACCCGGTGAAGCTGCAGCGCATGGCGCGTGTGAGCACTGTCGTCAGAAGAAGCGCAAGGTAGCCCCCCCCC